ATATTTTTATTGATTTCAGAGAGGAAAAGAAGAGGTAGAGAGAGATAGAAACATCAATGATGAGAGAGAATCATTGATCTGCTGCCTCCTGCATACCCCCCACTGGGGATCCAGCCCACAACCCAGGCATGTGCCCTTGACCAGAATCGAACCTGGGATCCTTCAGTCCCCAGGCTGATGCTCTATCCACTGAGCCAAAATGGCTAAGGCTCTCTTTCATCATTGTTTGTCTCTCTCTCTCCCCCTCCCTCTCTGAAATCAATAAAAATATGTTTTTTTAAATAAAAGATACCAACCAATTCTAGTAATAAAAATTAAAAAGAATGCATTCAACGCTTATTTGTAAAAAAAATAAAATAGTGACTAGTAGTCTGATTCATCTTTACCCCTCCTCTCTGTGCCAGGTGGAGCCCCCGCAAGGCATTCCTGGAGACGACACGGCAATGAACGGGATTCGGCTGCACTGCTCCCGTGGGCACAAAGTGGAGTCCGAGTCTGGAAGGTGAGGGGCAGAGGCCAATGATCCCCTAGGGTGGGGTATGCGCCTTATCCTGTTACACCCACCCCCTCCCAGCCGGCAGGTAACTCCAACGCTGCCACACCTTAGACATGGGGAGTAGGTTGTAGACCTCCCCTGCGCACCGTGGTGGATGTCAGGTGATTAGACCCGACCCCCGAGGCCAAGGAGCCCCTGGCTTGGGAAGTCCCCAGGCTGGGTCGGGCTGGAGGTGAGTGGGCGGCGCCCCACAGCCAGTGAGTCTTCCCTTCCCTCGCAGGTGGGGCGCATGGAGCGAGCCGCTGTGGTGTCCCCATGGCAGCTTCCTCGTGGCTTTCTCACTCCGAGTGGAGGCACCCACGACCCTTGGGGACAACACGGGCGCCAACAACGTGCGCTTCCGCTGCTCCGACGGCAAGGAGCTGGAGGGGCCTGGCCTGGCCTGGGGAGACTTTGGAAGCTGGAGTGAGCCGTGTCCTAAAGGCATATGTGGTTTGCAGACCAAGATCCAGCGGCCCAGAGGCCTCCCCGACGACACCGCGGTGAACGACGTGCGTTTTTTCTGCTGCAGCAGCTGATCCCTTTGCGTCCGCTCCCGGCCCCACCTCCGGCTGTCCCACCTCCCGTATTAAAGCTTCCCCGTCATGGCTTTGGTGTCATCTGTTTTAGGCATAGCAAACTGCATCTCCCTGTCTCCTAGCCTAGCACTGGGCCAGCCTGAAATACAGGTTTGGCTCGGGAGTCCATGGCAGGCTGCCCAAAGTTACGGACCCATAGTCACTTCCATTTTGCATACAAGTGAAGGAAGTCCCTGGCTTTCTGAGGGCGTCTGCATACACATCATGCCCATTAAATGCCCAGGTTATTTATTTTCTGAGCCACCAGTGACCTAGGATTCAGAAACTTCTACCAAATTAGGAGGCGACATGTTACCACACCTTCAGGCTTCATTTTCTAGAGCTTATTGGTTAACGTGTCTTTTCCATAGTTGTCCCCCGCCCCCCCCCTACCAACTCCAAGGGTGGCTTTTCTGTATACTGATTCCCATTTTGGATCTTTGCCCTCGATGTTCTCTCTGCCTGGAATCCCTCGGCATCCAGGTGGTTAGCCCACAAGCAGACTTCAGCTCTAATTTCACTTCCTCAGAGTTTATATCTATCCCATTATCAATGTGTTGTTATTTTTTAATCTTCACCTGAGGATATGTTTTACTGATTTTAGAGAAAGGGTTCCCCGTCCTGAGCATGTGCCCAGGGGGACTTGCAAAGGGCTCATTAGGCCCGTGTGGAGGTAGCACTCTTGAAGGCAGGTCTGACCCACGTGGGGAGAGGCACAGAATGGGGTAGTGAAGGCGAGAAAACCGGCTAAGCCTTACTCGGTCTCTTTGAAATGGTAGGGGGGAGAGAAAGAGAGAGAGAGAGAGAGAGAGAGAGAGAGAGAGAGAGAGAGAGAGTTGGTTACCTGCCTCTAGTATGAGTCCCCACCAGGATTGAGCCTGTAACCTAGGTATGTGCCCTGACCCAGAATCCAAAGAGCAGGCAACCTTTGGGTGTACAGGACTACGTTCCAACCAACTGAGCCACACTGGCCAGGTCTCAACGAGTTTTGTAAAAGTGCTTAGCATCAGCTGATCTTTTAAAAACTGCCAATTTTCCACCCTGGAATGTTAAATTGAGAGCTTGTTTGGAGGTTCTAGCAGGGGAGCGCAGCTACTCGTATACCCTTACTGAAGATCGGTCCTCTCCTCTGGGGGGACGCACATGGATCGGTGAGGGAGGAGGGGGACACCCGCCTAGCCAGCCAGATCAGCCGAATCAACCCTGGCGATCAATGGGGTGACAAATGTCGCAGCCAGATCACCCTCACATCCTGGAATGTTAAACTGAGAGCACAGAACTTGTCTGCCTTGTTAACTTCGGTATTTCCGGTGCACACTAATAGCTCAATAACTATTTGCTGCCCTGGCCCTCCTGGCTCAGCTGGTGGGAGCCTGGTGGGTGCACTAGGAGATGGTTCCTTCCCGGTTGGGGCACATGCCCAGATTGCAGATGGATCCTGGCTGGGGTGCGTGGATGAGGCAACCAACTGATGTTTCTCTCTGGCATCCATGTTTCTCTTTCTCTTCCCCTCCCTCTCTCTCAAATCAATGAAAAATGATAAATAAAAAATTTAAACTCAGGCTTAAAAAATAACTATTTGCTAAGAAAATCAGCGGGGTGCAGGGGCCCCACACAGGGGAGCCACAAGCCCCGCCGTGGACACTTCTCACATAGGGCACGATCTGAGATGCGCAGGAGAGCTCAAAACGGTTTATTTCAGGGCGGGGGTGGGTCGGGTGGGCGTCCAGCGGCGGGCAGGATGGTCAGTGGAGCCTCATTCAGGGGTGCCCTGCGGAAAAGAGACCGTGAGAACGCAGCCGGGGAGCCAGCAGGTTCCCTCCAAAGCTCCTGGGCGCGCGGTCCCACCTTCTTCCTGCAGTCGCCGCAGAGGACACCCACGGCCGCGTTCACCACCTGCACCCCGCACAGCACGAGCTCCAGGCACGAGGCGGCCAGGAGCAGCGAGAAGAGCGTCACGTGCCAGGTGACCACATTAGGCGGCTCCTGGCACAGATCCCACAGGGTGCGGTTGAACAAGTAAGATTCTCTGTGGATCGACAAGGTCACATGAGAGACGGAGGTCGCCGCGGAGGCCCCCCTCCGGGTTCCCTGTCCTGAGCGCGCGCCAAGGGGGACTTGCGGAGGGCGCCTGAGGCCCACGTGGGGGAAGCGCTCTCGAAGGCAGGTCCGGCCCACGTGGGGAGAGGCACAGAATGGGGTAGTGAGGGCGCGAAAACCGGCTAAGCCTTACTCGGTCTTTTTGAAAGGGGTGTCCCAAGAACCGTCCTTCAAAAGACACTTGGGTCCATCTCGGAGCCCGGTCCCGGATACTGAGAGGCAATAGATGGCTCCAATCATCCCTAACGCCGAGCAGAAGACCGAGCGCAGCATCTGGATGTGGAGTGGAAGGAGAGGTGAGTCGGCCCCGCCTAGCTCCTACCCCCTCCCCCTATACATTTCCCTTCAAACCCCATTGCTAGGAGTTAGGTTAACCCTAAGAGCCAGCGGCTGCAGAGGTTCATGGGGGTTGTAGTCCCCTCTAATCAGGCCCATCGAGGCCTAAGATTGGGGGGGAGGGGGAAGGGGGGAGGAACGGGGTAATGGGGTTGGGGTAGGGGTAGGGGTAGGGGTAGGGGTAGGGCGGGGGAGAGGTGGATCCCCGAGACTGCAGAGAGCTGGTGTAGCTAGGAAGAGGGGGCGTGGCTTTAGGTTGGCTCTTCCTAGACCTGTTCAAAGACCGATCCTGGATCCCCTCTGAATTTGGATCTTACCCTGCAGCGATTCCCACAGCAGCCTGCACCGCAACAGCCCTTGCCCCCTGCCCGGACGGCTGCAATTCCCGGACACAGTACCTATGGAACAAAAGTGCGTGTGACAGCCAGTCCCTCCAGATCCTCCAGGCCTTTCAGGGGTGGGCAAACTTTTTGACTCGAGGGCCACAATGGGTTCTTAAACTGGACCGGAGGGCCGGAACAAAAGCAAGGATGGAGTGTTTGTGTGAACTAATATAAATTCAAAGTAAACATCATTACATAAAAGGGTACGGTCTTTTTTTTTTTTTTAGTTTTATTCATTTCAAACTGGCCGGATCCGGCCCTCGGCCGTTGTCATCAGTGCTTACCTCCTCCTGGAACCTGCCTGTGATGTCCTCAGCCCTTTGGACTGTAGGAAGACCTTATCTGTACTTCTCCGGGAGCACTCTCAGGTTCCATCTTAATTTATCATAATTTATGTGTCTACTTATTTCTGTCCAGATTGTAGCCTCCAGGAGGGTAGGGCCTAATAATATATTCTCAATAAATCTTGAGACATGTTCGGTGCCCAATTGAATGGCAGTTAGGAGGCCTGGGTTTAATGCTAACCCCAATGCACTGCACACTCCAGGAATTGGTTCATCTCTCAGGGTCTCTGTTTTGTCCTCTGTAAAATGGGTCTGCAATACCTACCTCACAGGGCTGATCTCATGATTTTTTTAATGAGATAACAAGTTGACTGGATGTCAAGACTAGCTCAGAGTAAATGCTCAATAACTATACATTCCCTCCACAGCAGGAAGGAATGGTGGTGCTGGAGTGTCTGGGATCATGATGGTGGAGGGTGGAGGAGAATGTTAGTGGAGGCTCTGATGGGAAGTATAAGAATCCCCAAGATACAGCCCTCGTCCTCTTTGTCTTTCTTTCTCCCTGTGACCTTCCTCATGGAGCCCATTCCCTCCAGGGTATCAGCTTCTCCTCTGCCAATAGTCACCTCCTAAATCATGCCTCCAGATTCAAATCTAACTGCCTTAAGGATATATGTTCACTTGAATGACTTGGTTTTAGCTCAAATTCAGCCAGCCTCATACTGACCTCACAATTTATTCTCCAAATTCATCTTCCATCAACTTTTTTTTTTAAATATAATTTTATCGATTTCAGAGAGGAAGGGAGGAAAGAGAGATAGAAACATCCATGATGAGAGAGAATCGTTGATCGGCTGCCTCCTGCACACTTCACACTGGGGATGGAGCCTGCAATCTGGGCATGTGCCCTGACCGGGAATCGAAACCATGACCTCCTGGTTCATAGGTCAATGCTCAACCACTGAGCTATGCTGGCTGGGCTCCCATTGACTTTCTTGTCTTCATCACTGGAGGTATCCTCCAGATTACCCAGGTTGGAAAACTTGAATTTTTTTTTTAAGGCCACCAAAAATTTTGGTTGCCTCCCCCCAAAAAATTGGGAGAGAGATGAAAAAACTTGAATCCTTTACACCCAGCCAGACTTCAAATCCTCTTGACTTTTCCAACGTCTTTTGAATCTGTCAGTTCTTCCTTTTTCTTCAAAGTAAATCCCTAATCATCTCCCATGAAGATGATGTTTGCAGCCTGCCTACTAGATTCCGTATCTCTTGCTCCATCCTACATGCTACCATTAAGCTTAAGTTTATTTTTTATTTATTTTTAAGTTTTATTAGTCTTGTATGCTCACATCCTTTAGAGCAGCGGTTCTTAACCTGTGGGTCGCGACCCCTTTGGGGGTCGAACGACCCTTTCACAGGGGTCACCTAAATACATCCTGCATATCAGATATTTACATGACGATTCATAACAGTAGCAAAATTACAGTTATGAAGTAACAACAAAAATAATTTTATGGTTGGGGGTCACCACAACATGAGGAACTGTATTAAAGGGTCGCGGCATTAGGAAGGTTGAGAGCCACTGCTTTAGAGTCTCCTCACTGAGTAGCTCATCAAAACTCAACTCTGGGAAGGCATTCCAGGCTCCTCAATTTGGCCCCAGCCTTATCTTTGTTGCACCATGCCAGGTTCTTTGCCTGTCTCTCATCTCTGGAATCCCACAGCTGTCTTGATCTTTGCCTCCCTGTAAACCTTGTCTGGCCCACATCACACAAAGCAGCATTTTGTTCTTCTCCAGGGGAGGGGCTGAGAGTTTTAGTTCTGTTACGTGACCCACTGCAACCTCACAGAAACACCTGCAGGGTTGAATAAACTTTTCACCAGACACTCTCCCCTCTCTTATGTTTTATGGTAGGTCAAGGGCCAGTT